TGATAGCTATACCTATATGTAGATGCAACTTCCCTAAAGAGGTTGCCCAAATAATGGGAACTCGGATGGGCACAGTTGGGAAAGTTACGCAATATCTTCCCATCAAAAATCCTGGAATACCTTAAAATAAGGATGTGCAATCAATGTGTATTGCCAATGATGACATACGATATAGAGACGTGGTCTCTTACTTCTAATCTGCTAAAGGGGCTTAAAGTCGCCCAGCGAGTCATGAATAGAGCTAGAGCTTGGAGTTTTTATTAATATGGAAATTGTGCAAAGAAACACAGTCACCGATATAGCTCTTGAAATCTGCAAATTGAAATGACAATGGGCAGGCCACATACGGCCGATGAAGCAGAAAAATTCTCAAGTGGCGACCACGGATCGGAAGGCCTCCCACAAGGTGGACTTTGTCAGAGTCGCGGGGAGACAATGGATGCAAGTGGCGACTTCTCGTTCAACATGGAAAACTAAGGATGAGGCCTTTGCCAAGACATGGACGTCTTGCGACTGATGATGTTGATGCTGATCTGATAGGAAGCTTTGCTGCTTTGTTGATGAACTATTGATATGAATTATTTAGATTTATATGAATTATTGATGAACTACTTTATGAATATCCAAGTGTAAGATAAACTATATTACATTAACAAATAAACTTTATTTGTATTTCGGTTTGTAGAGTTTTTCTAAAGTGTATTAAACTTCCTTAGTATTTTAATACGTACGTATGCAATATTACTTCGCACAACAAAATTGTTAAAGTTAGGTACAACATGGATGATGACTGATTTGTTTTCTAAAAATCAATTTGGTAGATTCTTATTTTAATAACTTGCTTACTAACTTTTACGTATTTTTACGATGTATACGTATTATTCATTATTGTATTGTGACGTAACAATTTTGTACATTTTATACTGAGATGGGACGTTACGAAATTACTTTCCTAATATTCTTACAGTATACAAGTAATCAATTAAATACTTAGAGTTTCAATTCTTAGATTCTGTTATTATCCCTAATCCAGAGTAGGGCTCTTGATATCTTCCTTACTCTGCTGCATCTCTCTCTTGTACCTTCCCCTATTTCCATTTTATACTCCTAGAGGTTGGTATCAATATGTTATCAGCTCTGATTCTCTTTTCAAATCCTATCATCCTGTGTTTTTGGTCTACCATTTTAACCATGATGCCTCGTTTCTTCAATGGTTGTGAGTTTGGTAAATATGACTCGGAAAAAATCGCACTTCTTTTATAATTATGTTTTAATAACAGCAGATGTAGATAGGGAACTGGCCAACTAAAAAGTACAATCTAAGCCCTTATCAAAACTACGAATCATTTGTACAGCCATTAACCTTAATAACTCATCCAAGGTTAAATGAATTATAAACAATATACTTCATTCGTGGCATACTTTAAAAATGTTAAACACAACCTAAATAAATTGTGCTCTAATTTATAGAATCAGGCGTTACTTTGCGGAAATCCATGACATTAAATGTTAAGAAAAATATTTAGTTTTAATTCCGCAACAAAAATCCAGGCTTCTTGCAGGATGCAATCCCACTTCTATGCAAATATTTTTCTTAACATTTAAATAGTACCCGTTTTTTTTAAGCAGGGAAATTTTTCAGATGACTTTTGTGATGACGTGGTGGTGGTGGCCCTTAGGTTAAGATGCTTCTCATGCATGAGGGTGTGAGTTCGAAACCTGGCAAGTACCAATGTGACCTTTTCCGAGTTATATTATGTACTTTCTATGATTATTTAGACAACACTGGCATACGGTGAAGGTAACCTGGACTTATAATTTTTATTTACAAGTTTGAAATCGCCAACCAGCATTGAGCAAGCGTGGTGATTAATTCTCTAACCTTATCCGTGTGAGAGGAGGCATTTGCTCAGCAGTGGGCACTTATATGCTGATGATGATAATGATGATGATGATGATGATGAGGCCAACGCGGAACGCTGGTGTACGATACTGTCGGGCGTGCTGGTCAGTCGGCGAGCTACCCTTGCTCGCCGTATTTAGAAGATTTTAAGGTAGAAAAGTAAAAATGATGTAAAGCCCTATCAGTAATAAATAGGTGCTTACTCTTGCATCCGGGAATGGAGCCCGTAAATCTAAGCTTTGGCTTCATTCAACTTACAAAGCGTTCTAATAAATTCAGTTTGCACAATCAACTAGGTCGTTGCGTATATATACTTCTATACAAATATTATAAAGTGGTAAGTTTGTATGTAGGGGGTAATCTTTGGAACCGCTGGTCGGATTTCCAAAATTAGTTTTCTGATAGATAGCTACAATGTTCCTGGGTGCTATAGGCTATAAAACAACACGCTACGATCAAATGGAACCGAGCAGCGAATTAAACCGCGCGAGGGTAGCTAGTATTATTATACATATATTGGTATAACCATTGTAAAAGTAAAATATATAAGTAATGAAATAATGAAACAATGAATTTATTTTTGTAAATAGGCCATAATACAGCACATTACACGTCAAAATAATAAAAAAAAAAACTAGGTAGATGAATCCGGCATTTCCTATCTGACTACTCTGAGAAGAAATGCCGAAACAAACTCAGAGGTCAGTCTCTTTTCAAGTCCAGACAATGTGAAAAATAATATCACGTGCAAGAACCGTGCAAGTTTAATCTGTAGTGGTATTTTGAGGAAAGAACCACACCAGTTTAAGTGGACCCGTTCTAAAGAAAGGCACGCAAGTGTCAGTTGACAACCAGTTAAACTAACAGGTAAAACTCTATATTCTTTTAAGAATAAACTCTATTTTCACAAGTTTTTATAGTTACCAACTATTAGTATTAACATGTCTACTCCTTAGAGGATAACCACATAATGTTACATACTGACATAATTACTGAAGCTTTCCAGTTCAAGATCATTGCCACGGTGACCGCGCCCGCATTGACTTGAAATTGTAATTGGAAAGTTTGTATCATATTCGTATACAGACCGGTATCAGTGTATTACGACATGGTTGTTTATTACCTAACTAGTAATTAGGATGAAGAGTACCTAAGCCCTAAATGTGTTATTAATGTTTGTATTAATTTTATTTTAAGTGATAAGTCGGCAAACGTGCATACGGTTTACCTGACGGTAACCAATAAGCACCGTCCATTTTAAAGTGTAGGAGAGCCAAGCTTCTGCACGAAAGTGATACCACGGCCTCACAGAATACAGGCGTGATACAACCACAGCTTTGTGGTTCGCCGTATGAGTGAGTTTACCGGAGGCCCAATCCCGCCCCTTCCCCTATCTCTTCCCGATCCTTATATCCCCAAAAGGCCGGCAACGCACTCGTTACTCCTTTGGTGTTGCGGGTGTCCATGGGCGGCGCCGATTGCTTACCATCAGGTAATCCGTCTGCTCGTTTGCCGACTTATAGCATTAAAAAAACAACCGCAACACCAGAAAAGTTACGAGGCCCTTTGGGGAATAGGATTATGGAAAATAGGGGGAAGGTTTGGTTTGCGCCTCCATTAACCTCAGCTCTGCAATACGCTTGTCATAGACCCTTCCAATATCGTATGCTGCTAGACCTTGATTTTCAACTCTTCATATCAAACCACTGCCATCCATTAATGCTGGATATCGTTACACCTTCAAACATTGGGATCCATTAAAATTAATGAACGTAATTATCTAGTTATAATATTTAGCTATGTAAGATTTCCACGAAGTTATAAGTGATACGCTACTTATTTTCTGAGAACCAACAGGTTAGGATAAATACATAAATATATATACATATATAACACGAAATGATATAGCTATGTATATGTCGCAGTCAATTTGATGAGTTAGTCAACCAACCAAGCGGCCTGAATGACTAGTCGCTTGATTGATTGGCTTAATTTCTTATTCAGGCCTTAAGTTGAAAAGTGAAGGGATTGTCAAGAAAACTGAGTTGCTTCCAGAATGTTAGGTTTGGTTATGTTAGAACTATGAATGCTATATGAACTATATCGAGTCACCATCGTAAAATTAAATATTCAGCTATTCAAATTGTGCTGCGATCAAAGGGTATTTTGTATTTGTTGGCAGTTGGCTGCAACATATAATATTTTACTTTAATTACATAATCTATTTTAAGAATGCTTACTTGTCGTGGTGGCCCTGAGGTTGACGCGCCAGTTTCTCATGCATGAGGGTGCGGTTTCGAAACCTGGCATGTACTAAAGTGACTATTCCCGAATTAAGTATATGTTTTTTCTAAGATTATTTAGACACCATGGACATACGGTGAAGGAAAATGGTGTGAGGAAACTGGACTTATAATTTCTAATTATAAGTTTGAAATCACAAATCCGCCTTGAGCAAGCATGGTTATTAATGCTCAAGCTCTATGCTCAAGCCATCCTCGTGTGAGAAGAGGCCTTTGCTCAGCAGTGGGTGCTTATAGGCTGATGATGTGAAGAAAGGTTACAGGTGAATTACGTAATAAGTAACAAAAATATATAGTTAAGTTGCTAACTACAAGCCTTCACAGATGAATAATAATATTTTCGGTTAACTAATGCCCAAATGTTGAAGTAATGTTTTTAATGACATATGATAAGTGTTAGAAGTTGAAGAACTACGAGTAGCTCAACCTAGGCTCAACTGTTGTAAACCCAACAGCCCTAAAAGTAAAGGTAACAAAATTATAAAATTGTAAATACCTACATATATGACTTAGACAATTGATATAAATTCTACAACTCACGTCAAAATTTGCACAATACATAAAAAACATGTAATGTATGATTTTTCGATTTTGTTTAGAAGTATCAAGAATTATGAATTGTAAATAGGTCACGTAAAAGACAAAAATAAAAACTTTCAACAAACAAGTTCACATAATTTATTTCTTAAACATAATTAACTTATCTATCTTACTGATTATAACTGTGTTATCAACTTAGTTCCGTCTAAAAATTGGATTCTTGTCTACTTTTATTTAGTATTTCTCTGTATCTGCTAAAACATCTCATTTCTATGGAAAAACCTGTAGAAACCATCAATAATGCCTTTTTGGAAATTTTGGAAACATGCCTTTACGCCTTTTAGAAACCCGACAACTTTGTTTTCTTTTATTTCTTCCCTTTCATACTCAGCATCGATATGTATGCTAACTCGATTCTTCTTTCGTTTAACTTTAACTGCTTCTGTGGTAGTAGCTGCGTCTGTTGTATTTGCTATATTTAATTCAGGCCTAATAGTATAATAAGGGTCTATAGGTCCTGCTTTTGTCCTGTTATCTGGAATATCTATAACATTCTCAGTAACTTGGTAAGATCCATAAAGTGGATAAGATATAACAGCTCCTGAATTTTGGGCTTCCATATCTTCTTTTTCTCCCTTGGTTTTATTTGTATTCAGTTCATTTTCTGTTTTATTTTTAATACCTGTTTGTATTGGAGGTATTGCTGCACCGCCAGCTGGTTCGTCAATTGGTTTATTTACTAGTCTTCTAGGAATATGGACGTTGTAAACTAGTTCATTTGATGGAGGTAAAAATATCTGAGATGAGATATCCTTTGCCAAAATTTTTGTTATGAAAACCTGTAAAAGAGACGTTTTTGATTATAATAAGTTAAATATATTTCAGGGTTATAATATGTTAAATTGTTTAAAATAAATATAATCTCCCAAAAAATAGTTCTGTCTTGTAAAGTAAATAATGCTCCAATAGATACGAATTTAGATATTAAGAGATCAAAATATAATAAATCAAATCATATCTTAAAACAGAGAAAAACTATAAACATTCAAAGTCAAAGTCAAAATCATTTATTTCAATTACACCACAGTAGACACTTTAGAACGCCAAGCAAAAAAAAAAAAGGAAAAAAGTATATCATTGAAACAATGAATTTATTTTTAAATTCAAAGGCAAATATTATATTATAAGGTAAATAGGCAATAAAACGGCACTTTTACATGTCAAATTATATGTAAAAAACTAGATGAAGCCGGCATTTCCTATCTGACTACTCTGAGAAGAAATGCCGAAACAAAGGTCAGTCTCTTTTCAAGTCCAGACAATGTAAAAATAACATAATGTGAGAAAACCGTGCAAATTCAGTCTGTACTGGTCTTGTGAGGAAAGAACCACACTAGTTTAAGTAGACCCGTTCTGAAGACAGGCACGAAAGTGTCATTAACCACCAATAAGATCTAGAGTAGTAACCCATCTAAGCTACATACAAAACTAAAAAGAAACTTCTAAAACCTTTTCCATCTTCAAAAACACACACAACACACGTATTCGTTATATTGGGGAGATATTATAAAGATGTAGGTACATACGATACATCCTTTGATTGCTAAGGTGAATAACATTTGGAGTTCGTTCAAGAGGTATAATCATTTTATGAGCCATGTTTAAAGCACCTTCATAATATTTGTAGGTACATTATATTAAAAACAGCTCGTAATTTACTTTTTTGTTGATGTATCAGTTTCATCTTTTCAAATTTACATACCTACTATGTTATTCGCGTGTCATTTCTTTCTAGGTTTATATTTTTTTGGAATACAATGTTTTATGATAGTTTAATATACTTACACTAATTTTTTTATAATATTATTTATATGCACAATTGTGTGTAAAAGTGATGTTAATTTTCTGTAAGAGATTGCTTATACATACATATGCATGTACTTGATTATATTTTTTTTTATAGAAAAACGTTGCCCTACTCTAAGATTTTCTCCTGTGGGTGTGGTTACAAACATACAATTTCACATACACATCACACCCAGGCCCGGAACAACAATTTGTGGATCACACAAAGAGTTGTTCCGTGCGGGAATCGAACCCGCGACACGTTGCACGGCAGCCAGCCACCGTGCAGTCATATATTTTTGACGTAGCTAATAAACGAATGAAAACCACTTGAGGTTTTGTATAATTATTTTCACAAATATGTTATTTTAACTCAAAACAATATTTGCGGCACGAAATGAATAAAGAATAAAATAATTATTTATAAATAAATAAGTACACAATATAATTCAACTCACCAAAGATATAAATAATCGCACAGACATTATAAACACTTAAAAATAGACCAGACAATTCAGTCCACAGAATTAAACTGATAGAAACAAATTCACGAATTCAGACAATATAAAAATGCACAAAAAATACGGGCGTTATCGGGCAAAATACAATGAATTCACTTTTCACTATAACCAAGGGACGCCGAGTCGCTTTTAGTTTTTATAAGTGACATGAGACGTAGATATGTTTCGAATTACTCATGAATTTTAAGGTGAGATCCTAATACGTCAGACAAAAAATCGCGATGTATTGTCTTGAGCGTCGTGACGCAATGCCAATCTTATAATCGAACGTTCGACCAAGATAAAGACAGTTTTAATAATGTTAAGTTCAAGAAGTCACGATTAATCGCAAAAAGTGAAGGAAAATGCTATTTTAACTGTTCACTTCAGTGAATTGGGTGTAAAAAGAACACTTTTTTAATTACCTACTTACATTGAAAGTTTTTTTGTGTTTAAAAAAAACTGTGTTGATAATTTTGACAATGGTGATGTCTGCTTAAGTAGTTGTTTTATATTTTTTACTGTTTCTAAAATCAATTTCTTGTTTCAATCCTTAATAAAATATTGTGTGTTGATAGAATTTTCACTTTAATTTGCTTCACTAACTTATTTACTCACTAACTTTAATTTCGTTTGCTTTGTAATTTCTCTCTTATAATAAATAATTCCAATTAAGTTTCCAAATCATTTAAAAAATACATTAAAAAGTAGTCAACGTTAAAACCACACCTTAACATTTACTATAAAAAACGCAACAGTCATACCGAGACTACTGCCGGGAAATCCTTTCCATTCGGATTGTTGCGTACATTGCTTTGTCATGTCTCACTCCAGGACGAGCCCTAGGAATGTAGGAAGCGATGGGCAATATCCTGGATCTAGCTAGCTCCTATTGAATGACCTTGAAGGTATTTCTATGACATAGATTCAGGGCTGTAGTTTTTAATGGTTAAAAATAATAAAACAAATGAATTGAAATCGGATTTTGACATTTGTTTTATGGAGTTTTTTCAAAACACCATGAATATTTAGGATAATTTTGTTTTTTTTTAATTTGGAAGAATGTCAGGATTTCTTAAAAAGTCGGCTTGACTTCTTTTGGTGGGAAACATCGCATATCTTCTCTCACCTCGGGTGGGGGGAGAGGGAATGTCATACTCTTACCGATTAAAAACCACACACGTTTTTTCTCTTAATCCGAGCTGGGCCTCTACATTTTTTTTCTGGCTAATAAATGGCCTACTTAAGGGATAAATTATTTCATAATTTATGTATAGATACAGACTTTTTTTAATTCCTGTATGTGTGAGAGATTGGCTCGACTGGAGTGATACCACATCCTGACAGAAGGCCGGCGTGAAACAACCACAGCGAGCATTGTGATTCACGTCCGTGTGAGTGAGTTTACCGGAGGCCTACCGGGATCCCAAAATTGTCGGCAACGTATTCGTAATTCCTCTGTTGTTGTGGATGTCCATGGGCGGAATTGATGCTTACCATCAGGTAATACGTCTGCTTGTTTGCCGACCTATAACATAAAAAAAGTCATTAAAGGTACTCAAGGTCATTTGTGAAGTTGTAACCAATAACCACTTTCCATCACCTTTACCATCATTCTTATGTAATTGGGATGAGGGCATTTTGCCATAGGTATGTGGAGTGTACTTTAAATTCAAGGTTAACTGATAAATTAATATATTGAACAGCTCTATCCTGTTTTCTACATCATCAGCCTGTAAATTCCTAATGCTGAACTAAGGGCTCTTCTCTTTAAAGCATTAATCCTCACCATTGCTCAAAATGGACTGGCGATTTAAATTCTGAATTAGTTATTAAGTGTCCAAATTTCTCACGAGGTTGTTCCTTTACGGTTTGTCGGTAGTGTTTAGATGAACTTGCTCGCGATGAAATTTAATTCAAATCCTATTCTACAAATATTATAAATGTGAAAGTTTCTGAGAATCTATGGATGTATGTTTGTTCTTCTTTCACGCAAAAACTGCTGGACTGATTTGGTTGTAATTTTACATGTAAATAGATGAAACCCTGGATTATCACATAGGCTATTGGCTATGTGCAAAGCGAGTAAATCAAACAACAGGTCAGAAATTGGAAACAAATGCGGATGATCAGCTGTCGGTTTTTTTTATTACATATTTATTTTACAGTAAAACTATTGAATAAATTGCACTTAAATAATGTCAACAATACTATTTTAATCTTTGGTTTAATTTATATTTGCAAAGAAAATTATAATGTTTACATTGTTATTATTTGATAGCTTCCTCAAATGTTGTAAACACTACACGTCGCCACCGGCGTACACATAATTATCCAATACCACGCGGGCGACAACGATGGACGAAGCTTGTTTTCTATATACGAGTATTATATTGTTTCAATTTACACCAGCCAGTGCAAATGCAATGAAGCAAATAAAATAAAAGTCAACGGAAATAACATAGATAGTGATTCTACTAATAGATTAATTGTAACATTAACAGAACTCAAGTAAGTAAGTAACTGAATAGTCCCATTCTTATCTTTTGGTAGTGTCTCTTACATTCCAAAAGATACAATTTTATTTGGCATTGAAGATTTTATGGTTTTGAAACATTTAAGCGTTTTGGGTATAAAATATAACAGGTATCCGTCAAAACAAGTATTTAATAAATGAAACAAAATAAACCTTTATTCAGAACTATTTTTTATGGTATAAGTCGGCAAACGAGCTGTCAGATTACCTGGTGGTAAGCAATCAGCGCCGCCCATGGACACCCGCAACACCAAAGGAGTTAGATGCGAGTGCGTTGGCGGCCTTTTGGGGATAGGTGTTGCGGATATAAGGATCGGGAAGGGATAGGGGAAGGGGAGGGATTGGGTCTCCAGTAACCTCACTCACACAGCGAAACACAACGCAGTGGTTGTTTCACGCCGGTATTCTGTGAGGCAGTGGTATCACTCCGGTCGAGCCGACCCATTCGTGTCGAAGCTTTTAAGAAAGAAGTGTTTTAAAGTTAATGACATCAACAACCTGGTCTGTTTCCCCAACTTTGGGAAAGGTCTCCTCCATTACCTTTTACTCTGTTATGTACATATACTGTTCTAGTCCATTAATTTCCTCATATGCTTTTGATTTCGTCGTCTCAGTTTTGATACTGTCTACTTCATTTTTTGCTGTCGCTAGAGTACCAAATTACGTTTTCATTTCGCTTATCAATGCTTCTGATTATATGGCATAAAATACTGAATCCAAACTAATATTATAAATGCGAAATTAACTGTCTGTCTGTCTTTTCTTCACGCCTGATAGACTGAACAGATTTCTGTGAAATTTGACATTTGAAAAAGGGACAGCATAGTTTTTATACCACAAATCTGCAGGAAGTCACTGTTCTACGCGAACGGAGTCGCAGGTAAAAGCTAGTTTTTAATATAGGTACCACTAACGGTGCAGGTAACGAATATCAATTTAACACTTCTTTTCCTGCATA